TCCTCGAAAACTATCAGACTGTAGGTATTGGAACATACATCTTTGAGATAGGCATTCGCCGTAGCAAATGGATATGATCACTTTGTCAGACTGTAAATTGTCAAAAATGTAGTATTTCGCTGCCAATGAAACTAATTAGAGTAAATAAGAAGTTAAGAGAAGATGTCCTCTTCGATGATTTTATTTACCATAGCTGTGCAGTCACAATTCATAAGTCTTCTGATTCCACTAAACTGGGTAGTTATAAGTAGCATTTAATTGAACCTAGTAACAAAGATCAAGTTGAATGGAGATCTCATATCTAAAATTGTTATCTAAGGTGAAAGTCAATCATAAAGGTGCACAGAAACCAATATAATTAACAGGACAAAATACAAAGTTGTTTAAATAGGCAAAAATAGTTCTGAAGATATAAAGGATAACCAAGTTTAAAAAAATAGCACTTATTGTGTCCCTTGTCTACGGTATTCGACGAATATACAGCACTGACAGCTTAGAAAAATTCATATCTCTCCAAAAGGTTCTGGATAAAAAAGTATACCCAGCACAATTTGTGGACAAAACCATAAAACCCAAACGATGGAGATATCCATTTCACTTCCGAAGAAGATATTATAAATAAATTTGACGTTAAAGGTGAATTTCCTGCTAATATCTTGAAAACAAGAATAATAAACTAGCTATTCAAAACTATCTTCCCATCAACCTTTAGGAGTGTATTCTGCAGCTGTCCAATGATTTCTGGGAAAGTGAATGATAAACTTTTGCATCTGACCACTTTCATATGTGTCTATCAATTCACCTTGTCCTATGAAGCCAGGTACACCGACCATTTGATGTGCTTTCTTTGCAAACAGGTTAGAAAGCAATACTCTACTTAGTTGTAAAGAGGTGCTGATGGATCCATAGGATGTGTAGTAATCGGACACTATGTTCATGAAATTTTTCGTTTTCTCTAATGTCCCAATGAGTACTTTCATCAATAAAGAATGAAGAGTACTCTTAGGGTCATCGCTAGTCACTAAATTAAAAAGGTCCTACAAGATTGCTTGGAAAGTATGACCAATCCTCTCTTATAAATAGCTACATAGTCATAATATTTCTTTTGTCTTAAGAGAATTTGTTCCTTTTGACGATATAAATCTCTGTTCACCTGTCTTGTCACCTCACGTGGAGTATTCTATTATCACCATTTTATATTGTATCAAGTAGGCAGTTAGTTTTTTGGCAATATCTGAATAACTTTTATGTGAGCGGCAAGCGTGTCTTGATTAATTCGGATAGAGAGATATATAGACAGACAGGCAGACAATTACGTAGGTAGGTAGGTAGGCAACCAACATAAAACCTGGCACACAAATGTACGGCTTCAAGTTACCGCATTGCATAGTAGCATTCAAAGAACGTGTGGATAGAATAAGAGTGATATCAAAGTAGATACATTTTTGTAGGAGAATGAATAATCTGAAGATAAATGTTAGTGCGAATACCCAAGCGTTAGAAGATGTCTAGGTGTGAATATATCTCCTCCACTGTGCCCAATTTTCAGCCATGTCACCAAGATTCCTCAACCACTGATTCTTTTCATCTCAGGGGCCCTAGTTAGAACTTGGTTAATATCTCAACTGACGAAATATACCCATTTATTCATTAACAGGAACAAGGCAGGTATCAGCGAAGTCGTTGAAAAGAAATATTTCTTCGCTGATAGATGCCATGTTCTTGTTAATATCTCAACTATTTAAAGGTTTAAACTTAGGAGCTAAAAGCAGAAAAAATGAAGTGATTACCAAAGGATTTCTGATGTAATTAGTCTGTCTGCATAAAGAATGAAGGGTAAGACATACAAGGGAATTATAAACTGAAGTGGAAGGTGTCTTAGTTTTTAAGGTAGTATTCATCACGGACTGACATTATTCGCAGAACCATCAGAAACCTAGGAGCACTCAACAGCTGTTTCATCCCACTGAGGGACTCCTCAGAAGTTAGGATCTATGACTGCACCAGGGATCTAACTCAAGACCTTTATGTTCTTGGCGAGAACCTTCCCACTAAGCCACTGGATCGAAATCCGATGGTTCACGTTTGAGATGGTATTTCCCGAAGTTTTAGTGAGAAGTCCTGACCAGTGGAGCAAACATAATCGAATGTAAGGACAAAAGCTAAATAGTTGCATTGCATGAAGGTTGGGCCTAATCGGAAGTAGGAAAATGTCTACCCCATTGAATTCCGACTCAGTTGTTGCCCATTAGTAAAGTCTTCATCGCGGAAAATGAAGGTCCTGGGCTCGATTCCTAGCCGGGGCGTGGGTGCGCACCCTCGAGAAGTCCCATACTAGGACAAAATAGTTGTCCAGTGCTATCAGGTTTTCAATGGTTCACCAACTTATGTCATTCCACAATGAATACCAATTTGGAATCAGTAAATCCGAACAGACCTCGAAACTAGAAAACGTGGAATCATTTGCTGCATTTAATTTATTTCATGAAGTTTAATAAGAAAAAAGTTATAACCTGTGCGATCAGTTAACTACCATGGATCTTGTCAAGTTTTCTTCAGTTGATTGCAGACGAAATACATGGTAAAATCTTGTAGCATAGCTAAATGAAAGTAAGGAAATAACATTCTGGTAGTGGAATAAATAGCAACCTTAAAAATCACCCTAATGACCAGGGAAATGGCAAATTAGTTTGTCTTTTTTATTCAGTTAGGCTGAAAATCAAAAAAAATCTAATTCCTTATTAATATGATTGATGGAATGACCTTAACAACTGCCAAAATTAATGAGTATTGTATTCCTTGAATGATAAGATGCAAATGTAATTGTAGGACAGTAAGTACTCCTTCTTCAACTTACAAATTTCATATGATTATAGCGGTAGTTGTCACCGTTTCAAATATGTGAGTAGATTTGAGAAATTAACGGGTTGGTCACTAGAGAGTAACCAACTTCATGTTGTCTAGCCTTTCTGATGAATCCAAAACAGCAGGAAACTTAAGTCGAGAGCTTCCTGTCGACTGCCTCCATCCAGCTAACAGATTTGAAAAGTTCACTTTCATGACAGTTTGAGAGACATTCAAAAATTATGTTGTTCCATTACCTATTCAACGGGTTCTTTTTATCTGCGTAACGTTACAGAATATATAGTTCACTGACACCTGGTGTCTAAACCAGTACCACTATCTTGTTATCACCTGAACATCTGCCACATTTGGTCGTGTTGTCAACTGGTTAACATATCTAAATGATTCTGTTAAGGTGAGCATATAATAGGACAAAATCAGTCAGTTCAGGTGTGTGATAATTAATGCAAATGTCGAGTCAAACTGGGCGAACGTTAGGTGATCAGTTGGAATACGTATATTCTATCACCATATATGTTTCATTGTTCTGTCAAGTAGAAATCTATCATTGGTCAGTTATCATCAACAGCATATTAATTACTATTGGGTAACACCGAATTACTATGTCTGGTTCGGTTTAGTCCCATACATATTTTTGCTTCCATCTGCTTTTGTTTAATTGTATTAGGCTAGTTTTAAAACAGCACTTACAGGACACAGCTGAGTTGTAATCACTCGAATCAGCGAGTCGATTTCGTTCTACAAACCTTAGTGATTGTAATATGTTTGTGCGCGAGAATAAACTTCCTTTTTAGTGACGGCTGAGTAGTAACGCACCACGAATTCATATGGTAGTCGGGAGAAATCCTTGGTGATTGAAATGAAGTAAAAATGCCGTTAGCAGTTAGGTCTTACATCTCACTTGGTAGACCATGCGCCCAGAAACTCAGAGATCACTGGTTCGATTCTTGAAGCAGCTTAGATTTCCATTTCACGTTCAATCATCACCCAGTATTAATACTCTAGTATACCAAACCATGCCTATTTCAGACAGACACACAGATAATTATTGAACTGATTCTGGACAAATATACATGAATCTAAAATGATTAGTCCTTATCTTAAGGAATTATATCACTGCGAAAATTGACTGTCTCAAGTCTTCCCTGATTATGGTGGGATAAACCTCGCTTTAACTAGTGATTCTTCTTGACATTTGCTTCGTTCCGTTTCTCATTCTGATTCATCCTAACAGTACTCCATAAGAGGTTGTATTTTACTATTTTGTAGATAGTTTGGAGGTCAGTGCACGCTCTCATCTAAATATCTATTTAATAAACAGCAAACATCTGAAACTATTTGTATGTAATTGAATTTATCAACCATATATTCCTTGTATCAACTCATCACCTAACTGATTGGCAACACAAAACGTGGCTACAAGTCTAACCGCTCCACTTCCCTACACTACTTCACTCTGTAAGACAGTTAATAGCTCAGAAAACAATGAAGCAAGTATCTCCATTACAGAATGCGTTTCGTCTATGGCAATTGAAGCAACAAACTTTGTTATCAAGGGAAAGCGCCTCTAATTCTGAAATCAATAACCCCGATAACCTTACTGATCGATAACATCTACAGAAATACTAGAGGATAGTCTTATTGAAAATCATTACTTGTCAGGTTTTTGAAAGCAGTCAGCAGGATGCCTAAAACTTAAGATTAGAGCTTGAGGAGACTTACCAGCAGGCAGCATCCATCATCGTGAGGAAACGGGTGTATTCTCAGATATATGAACCCACTTCATGAAGTGCCACGTTATTCTGGTCACTAATGATCTCATATAAAGAGTGGATTAGATGTACTGATTAGACACTAGAGAGTAACCAACTTCATGTTGTCAGTACCTAAGTGCTGATTAGATTCTATCGATCACTTCCACAGTGTGTCCACTTAGAACTAAAAGGTCAGTAGCGACCCGAATATCTTACTGGTAAGATGTCTGACTATAAGGCTGGGTGATGTAGGTTTGAATCTCCGAGGCGATCTCAGTTCCCATGAAATTGTAGATGCATCTTGCCCAGCTTGGTGACCAGATTGTAAAATGATGATGATATAATATTCGATCAAAACTTAGAAGAAAACAATGGGAAATCAATTACTCCCTAGTGACCAATAAATGTATTGATCACTAGTCAGCTAACAAACTATCAGATTCTTTCATTTTTCATCCTCCTATAAGGCAACAAGCACTGAATGGATTGAAAACACCAAAAACATCAAAAATGCATAAATCAAAAATTTATAATGTACTATAAATTAGTTATAGTTTTATACCCATTTGTTGGGTAGGATATTGCAGTTAGTCAAAATTAATATAAATATACGTAAAAGGTCATATCATCATTATCATTACGATCATTTTCATTAGTATTATTTACAACTGACCCTAAAAGGAAGATGAAATTTATTCTTCAAGGGATAAATTTTCTTTTCACTGTGAAAGATTTTAGTTTGTAACTTACTGATAACAATGAACTTTACGAAAGGCGATAACTATTATGGGCATAGAGAAAAAACCGAAGCAAACAACCAAACAACAGAAGAAGAAAGACACCACCAACAGTCAATAAATAATTTCAAACTATGCGAAGATGAAAGAAGTTAAAGGTATATATAACAACAGTAGTCCATATTCCTGTGCATTAACTTCTATCTTGACGAAAGATTTCCTGTTTATGTAATGTTTATATACGTAAGTATGCGTGCGTTTAAGGTCAATAAAATCTGACTGAAATAATGAATAGATGTAATAACAGTAATCAAATGATAGAGAAAGAAGTGGAAATGCTTCAAACTGTCTTGTCAATAACAAGAAAACAAAAATAAACAATGACAGAACAGAATTAGATACAGGGTAATCATGGAATAAACAAAGAATCAATGAGTTAAATGTTTCAATGTTCAAACATTCATTGAACCTCAGGTAGACCTGAAACTGTGTGTGTGAGCAAGTGAGAGAGAGAGAGAGAGAGGCAGAAAGTTTAAAAGCCGCAAAAACTGTACGATGTTGTATTTATTCATTAATAAAATGAATATACTTCAATACATTGCAGTAAAATACTCAAATTAATGAATAAGTTGTCACCATTACTCATGCTGTTTATTATCATATGGTCCCATCAGGGCAGAAAATAAAAGGCGAACTTAAAAATTGAATGATGGGGAATCTTAATTCCCGGTTACTAGAGTTGACAGCAGCAGTGGTAGTGATATTGACAACGCTTGTATGAGTAGTATCGTTAACAGGATGAGTTTTCCTGTCCTTTTTAAAGAGAAATTAAAGATGCTTTTGTTGTGTATACCACGGAAAACTGGATGATATGTGATCATGACGAGAAATGTAAGTAAATCAGAACATAGAAGTTAACGAATGCTAACTCATATATGAAGTTTGTAGGACGAAGAATAAAACGACGCAGAAGAGATGATGAACAAAAAGTCCTTCATGCCTATCACGCTCTCTCTCTCTCTCACACACACACATAGACAGTCACTATGTGTTACATAGAAATCTGAAGAGAATAAAAGTAAACAAAGTCATATTACATTAGATTATTCTAATTCACTGAAAAGACTAGATCGATTCACCATACCTGATGAAATCGGCAAGGTGCCTTGATTAATCTCAAGTGTTCTTGGGACATCGTAAACATGACTTCCAGTCACAGAATACGGCGAGCCTGGAGAAACAAGCCAGTTAGTTACATGAGGCTGAGCATTCGTTAAGAAGGGAGATAAAGCCGCAGCGGTAGCAGAATCATTTGTAAGGAGATTTCTTAGTTTATTCTGTTGAATAAGTGGTGTTGAAGTTAGTAGGGCTAAACTCTGTTGTAAATCATCTGTACCGGAGCCAGATGATGATGCTGGGGCAGGAGGTGGAGGCGCTGGTGGTAATGGTAGACCCCCATTCACACCAGTGACCGCTAAATATTGATTTGTTAGGTTTGGATGTTGCGACATTTGTGGTGAAAAGTTATTATGACCACCGAGTGTAGATAAAATCATCTGAGGGTATGGATTAGTATGTGTTCTCATAAAACTGAAACCGTTCTCATTCATTCCACTCGATGATGTTATACCATTTAACTTTGTTGGAGTGACATTATTCTCGGAGATATTTGTCTCACTTTTTAACACCTTAGCAGAATGATAAACACCTTTTGAGTCATTAACACCGATTGAACTACAACTAGAGGTGAGACGAAACAGTGTATGACGTTTGCACATACGTAAACACTTTGCACCGATCAACAGAAATATCAGTGTCATGAGAAATGTACAGATCACAGCAACAGCCATTTCTAATAGAGTGAATTGCTTCTGATATAAGTAGTGTGGTTGTTCAAATAGAATTTCATTTCTTATATTCTCTTCGGGTTGTTTACCACTTATCTTGCTAAGATAATTTCGATTTACAGTTGCTTCACGTTCAGTTGACCATGTGACATTAGGCTTTGGTAAGGATTTTATCTCTGGACCTTTTACTGTGACGATTACCTCTTCTGTTTCCTTTTTATCATCCCATGTAGCGCATGTATACTTCCGTGGTTTAGTGTCCAATGAGATATTAAGCTGAACAGTCGCTGATGGATGTTCATCACTTGTATTCAAGTGGAACAGATAATTTCTTTCTTTATTTAAATCCATTTTACTGTCTGAAGTTAAACGTCTCACCTCTCTCAATTGTCCACCTTCAACATAACGCCATGCTACACCAGGTGGTGTATGCGTTAATATCCCAACTGAAGTGATTGCATCAATATTATTGATCAAGTTATTCGATCTCTTTGGAACAGTGACTGCAGTACACGATATAAGAGCACGACTTGCATCCTCAAGTACATTTATAAATATCTGCTGTATACGTGATGTTGGACACAGTTGGTCAGCAGTTAATTTTGCAAGTTCAAATACAAGCTTCTCTTTAACAGATCTTTCTGTCCTTATATAATGAATACATGTCATATTTAAACCAGGAAGGCTATCTCTCCAATCTATACTTCTTTGAGCAATCCAAGATAAACGACAATTACATTCTAATGGATTCCCTGTTAAATCAAGCAATCGATTTTGACTGTCAAAATATCTTTCAAAATTGTCATCAATAAAAGAAATACGATTATCAGAAAGAATTAAACGTTCAAGACCTGGAACTTTTCCGTATGTTTCATACTGTACAACCTGAATACGATTACCGCGTAGATTAATTTGATTTGCAGATAAACCATGAAATGAATCCTCTGAAATAAGCATACCTTGTTCAGGCAGTGAATGTTGTTCACGTAAATACAAATTAGTCAATTGTAATCCATAAAATGTATATGATTCTAATCGTATTATTGAGTTATGCGATAAATCTAAATGTTTTAATTGTGTCATTTTTATAAAGGTTCTTGGTTCAATCACCTGTAGATTACAATAAATAATTCTTAAATACTCCAATTTTTCTAATCCAGTCATATTGGCTTCATTTAAATAATTTGGTGTAGGAAAATCACTTTGTTGTATAAATAATTTTGTAACACCGGAGGGGATATTTGTTGGGACACCATGTAAATGATCTTGTCGATCACAATGAACTACACCTTCACCTTTAGGACAATGACATCGACTATCACAGAGTCCAGGTTGAATGTATTGTGCATTGAAACAATTCAGTGATATTAAATATATAAATATAGTGGAGATTTGACAAGAAGACATTACACTTTGCCTCCACAATAACATCATATCTGACTTTTTGTAATTACTTATGGACACCTGCTCTAAGGAACAGCTGTAAGCTTTGCTTTTATCGATTTCCTTCCTTTTTTTTCTCCCCCCACTTATTTCTCTGTTTAGGCTTCTCGTTTGCGATCTTCACTGTTCTAAAATCAAAATATAGAGAGAAAAACAAGAGTAGATGAAATAGAAATTAATCGAAAAATTCGTTAAAAAAAAGGTGCGGTTAGAATTCATTATGGACCGACATCAGTTCGAGGAACATTGGAAACCTGGGAACACTAGACAGCTGTTTCGTCCTAGTATGGGACTCTTCAGCAATGTGCACTCATGACGCCGCCAGGGGTCGAACCCGCCACTTTTAGGTTCCATGGCCAGGACGTTACCACTGAGCCATTGGGTCAAAATCCAATGGTTCACATTCCCTAATTCTATCAGTTCACTATATAGCTCGACCTACATCTAGTGTCGTTGTTGAGTAACTGACATCATGTTCGAAGTGCTTTCCAATGTTTCTTCAACTGATGTCAGTCCATGATGAATTGCAACCGAAAATCAATTAATAAACCTCCACAAACCTCCAGATAGAAAAAAATTCATTTTATGATATATTACCATACTGGCTGTAGAAATTCAAAGGAAAACGAGTAGATAAAACCGGGTGGAATACATCTCAAACTTGGTTGTAGTAACTCCGTTCACCTTGATTAATTTATAGATGGTTATATACCATCAATGGGAGGAACTTAAAGAAAGTAACCTCCTTCACCTATCTAGGAAGCACTGTTCCAACTACGGGCGGCACAGATGAGGACGTCAAGGTCAGGATCGGAAGAGCAAGACAGGCGCTCATTAACCTGAAATCAGTGTGGAGATCTTCTGCACTGCACTCAGCATGTGGAACAAGATCCGGATTTTCAACACCAACTCAGTCAAGTCAGTGCTTCTGTATGGCTCAGAGACTTGGTGCGTTACGGAAGGGATTTCCAAAAAACTACGGACTTTCATCAACAACTGCCTACGCTGGTTCGTTACTGAAGATTAGGTGGCCAGAATAATAAGAATAAGCAACAAGGAACTCTGGAAACGAACTAACCAAGAAGCTATCGCTCAACAAATATGCAGTGACAGGAAGTGGAGATGGATTGGACTGGGCATACACTGAGAAGGCCGACTGTGGACATCACGTACCAGGCCAGATACTCGAGTGGAACCCAGATGGGAAGCGACAAGTTGGGCGTCCGAGGTGAGGGTGACATGGAGGAGATGGTGCGAGAAGGAAATGAAAGCTTGTTGGCTGTCATAGAACCAGGTTCAAAAGATTTCAGAGAACAGAGTTCACTGAAGGCGTGCTAGTGAAGCCCTATGTTCCATTAGGAACCCAAGGGACTAATAATAATAATAATATATACTATCGAAACCTTTGTTCTTCATAGCTTGTACAACATTCACAAAATGATGGTTTTATGGTGATTTCTTCTAGTACCAGTGCATACTTACTACACATTCGACAGATCAATCGGCAATCATTCATTCTGTGCTGCAGTTATGCAAAAAAATATTTGTAGTTTACTAAAAGTAAGGTTTGCGAATTTAACAAACAGAATGATTTTTCAAACCATGTAGCATTAAGCTAAATCAAGGTGGATATCAAGAAGATGTTTTGAGGGATTTCCGGTCACTCTTGAACAGTTGACTAGAGAGTTGTATGTGTGAAACGCCAACAGTTTTATAAGGATAGTCATTTATCGCCAGAAGCGTGATATAAATTATACTTGAGTACTGAAAATGCCAAAAACAATTTCAGCATACACATTTTGCCTTCCATGATAATTAAGATTGTTTATGTTACTGTCACGGCAGTGAGTGTTGCTATGGCGAGTTACTGTTATTACAATCTAAGATTATTAAAGGACAAGCAAAATCTGTGATTTTATGACAACAATTACCGTCTAGTTCTTAAGTTTACAGTTTGCCTGAAAAAGTTATAAATTTCCTTGAAAGCAGAAGATATCAGCTAAAGGAAAAAACACCAGGTCCTGACATTTTAATTTCCCATACATGTCGAATTCTTTTGATTACACTACTATTATGGATAGCGTGATGAAATGTTTGTTTAATGTTACTACTTGCTCTGTTAATAAGTAGTAACTGTTCACGAACCAACCTTTTTCTACGGTATATTGCGAGATGGATAAAAAATAACTGAACCATGAGATTCGTTTGATATATCTCGCATCAAAAGAAATCCACTACTTTCTCAATGACCATATCTGAAACCGTTAAAGATGAACGATGCTGTTTCGAGAAGAGAAAAGAGGGGAGTTGCTACTTTATCTAATTTTCGAATTAAAAACCGAAATACTGAGTTTGATATATGCTCAACATTGGGTAGTAATTCTTCGCAGTCTAGAAGCAATCAACGCAATTACTGTTAATGGAGAGGTGTAGAGATAAACAGCTTTGATCGGATTATGATCCCCTAAGAATAAAATTTCAATATCGCTTCCATCGCTCATTCATGAACCACAATCTGTTCAATGGTGAATTACTTCATTTAGCTTGATGGTCGAATAATATCTTGAAGGTAATTAGTAGAACTTTGTAGGCAGTTAAGATCAAACAACCTTATATTCTAAGCTACCAAATGAACAATTAATGCGCTTCATCACTTTCTATATATGACTAATCAGGGTTTGAATACAGTGTGAGAAATATCTTTAAAACACACGGATGAATTACACCAGCCCCACTAACTACGGATGCATCAACTTTGTGAAGTCGTTGAAGAGTGGCAAAAAGTATGAAAGTTACGTCAAACAGATCTTTGTGTTGACTACTGTCAGCTAATTAACAACTAAAAGCAAAGCAGAGCTTTGTGACGTCTAGATCACAGAAAGATAGCTTTACAGTGCTTCCATAAAGTGCTTCAGTTCACAGACGAGAATGATCACCTCAAATCATCTCTCGAGACAGACTGAATGAGAAGAGATGATGATTAGCTCAATAGTTTGGGCGTCCTAAAACATCGTGTATAACCTTAACTAATCCACATTTCCAGTGTCATTAATTTTGTAATCATATTTCTATATATTAACGATGGATAATAGCCAGCGGTGGAATCTAAAGTGCGCATTTGGTCCTATTCTGGATTCGTCAGCTGGACGTGCCTGCCCCTAGTGAGCGATGTTGTTACCACTAAGACTGGAATCCAGGACTAGTCACTTCAAACGCCAGAATGTTATCCACTACGCTACTGAATCACGATAGCTACTCATTGTGTAACGGGTATGGTATAGTTTTTGATATCATAGCTTGCGAATCTTCGTAGTCCATACCCCTTGCACAAGGAGTGGCTGTCGTGACTCAGTGGCATGGTGGATAAAGCTCGAGCTTTTGAAGCAACGTTTTCTGGGTTCTAGTCTTAGAAGAAACAGTATCACTCACTCAGAGACAGATACATCAAGTTGACGAGTTAAGAATAGGATGAAATGTGCTCCCTGGATCCGGGGCTGGCCACTGTCCACCAGCAATATCAAAATTCAAAATTCAGGCAGTATCCAAGCATTCACACAGGAGCACATATGTTATCAGTTGTCGATCACTTTGATCCAATCAACGACGGAGATTCATAAGATATGGCATCAAAAAGATTTAAACACATTTATCAGTCGACTATCTATTTTATCTTTAATCAAGAAATAATAACCTCCTGTTTGCTCTTGACTGTTCTTTTGATATTTCTCTTAACTAATTAATATACATACCCAACACTAAAATTAAATTGATAATCTTTCCCAGAGTGCAATAAAGTCAGAGATCGTTTCTTAATTAGATAAAGTCACATGTGATGAAGTTGTCTGGTTGGAAACGTCAGTTAGTGAAGAGGTGCTTCAAATTCTAATCACACTATAACAAATTTTGTCTTGACTAAGGTAAATCCAACGTGGTGAAATCTGTTATTAATGCCGTTACTGGATTTGGGGGTTTTGTGGGGATTTAGAGGTATTTCAAATTGGGTATTCATCCCTGTAGGGGTCATGGGTGTGCACTGCAGGGGGGTCCCATATTAGGACGAAACAGCTGTCCAGTGCTCCCAGGTTTCCATTGTTCCTCCAACTGATGTCGGTCCACGATGGATACCAACTTGAAATGCTGTTACTGTTGCCAGGATGTATAATTGCAAATATTAAAGGCTGTAATCTTTACGAGGATTACTTTAAATTTAGGCAGTATCTGCAACGGACTGACAGCGAATGAAAGAATTCTATAAGCGCACGAATCACTGACGACAAACTTATCTCAGATCTCAGTTTTAAGTTGCATAAAGGATCAAAATTGAAACAGGAGGTCAGTCACGGTCCTAACAGCCCAGTTGTAACATAGTTCACTACAACACTGGATAATGTGAGTTCGCATCTCAGATAGGACATCGATTCCCTTCAGGTTACAGTTACGCCTTTCCGACTAGTGTCAGCAAGCAGAAAACTTAGGTCAAACAGGAATTTTTACCGAGTACCTGCAACCATCTAATGGGAACCATCTTTCACCATAAATCCTAGACCAATGTCAAGTTAACATTAAGTATGAGAGTAGAAAAAGAAATATGATAAGTAGCAAAACCAAGTTTGCAGAAGAAACAAAATAAAACAAAGACCTAAAACGACGCCAATAACATTAATAATAATAATAACAGTAAGCATTCAATGTTCAATATTCAACACTGAATTTAATCAGCTAGTCGGTTAGTGTACGTGTCTGCGTGGACGCAAGTGAGTTTACACGCGTTTGTATATGCCTCCTAGTCAATATGTCAGTCATGTGTGAATCACAATAGCATCACTGAAATAATAACGGACAAAGCACTGTGTTAGAATTTTCACTTCGTAACTGACTTCTCATTAACTCTCACTAAACAAAGGAACACAGACAATAGATATCAAAGTTTTTGGCAACAGTTCATCTTAAAAGTGACTTGTTCCTATACTGAACCTATATGTGTGTTTGTATATACATATGTTTTCCATGACGACAGTCTTCAACAAGCAAGCGGAATCAATCAGAGGGCTAGATTATTGTGAATTTGTACAGTGGTTGAACGATGGTGGATAACCAACGCCATATCTATCTGATTTTGGTATTCATC